GTATATATATAGGAATGTAATTATGGTTAGGGTTTAGATATTTAACGAAAATAATTAATAAAAAAATATAATTAATTACATTTTAAATCAAATAATTATGAAAAAATTATCTATACAAACTAAAATATACAAGTTATACTAATACAACAGATAATACGCAATAGTAGAAATAATACAATAAATTGTACAATTAAACGATAATAATTAATAAAAAATATAATTACTTACATTTAAAATTAAATAATTATGGGAAAATTATCTATATAATAAAATGTACCAGTTATACTAATACAACAGATAATATGCAATAATAGTAATAATACAATAAATTGTATAAAATAATATGTAATAATAATACAACGTATGATACGAAATAATACATAATAATAAAAATAATACAACGTATTATTCAAAATAATACGTAATAGTATTGATAACACAACGGATTAATTCCAGAAATTTTTACTACACTAAGTTAATTTATAAATATCAAAATCATTTAAATAAATATAAATTTTGGACTTTTAAATCGTAGAAAATTCTAAAAAATCGAGAAAAATACAATTACTCTTTTAAAAATAATAATTAAATATTTTAAAATATCCAAAAATTATTTTAACTAATATCAAAAATTCATGATCATTACATTCTACCCCCTTAAAACACAAGTTAAAATATAGACACACAAACACTAAGGCTCCGTTTGGATACCATGATGTTTTACTTGTTTTCATGGTGTTTTTGTCAAAAATAAAACACTGTGTGTTTGGAAACCATGGTGTTTTTTAAGCTAAATCATCCCCAAACCAAAAACACAACACTTATTTCATAACACCTAAAATGTGTTTTAAGTTTGGTGTTTTGGTTTTGAGTTTGAGAAGGTGTTAATATAATGTATAACATAATATATTAAATGTAATTAACATAGAGTTATTAGCAACATGCTTATACTATACTATATATAGTTAATCTAATATATTAGTAATATTTATTAAATAATATAAAAAAATAATAAATAAATTATTTTATATAACAATATAATAACATATTATGTTATTAAATACTAGTATTTAATATGTTAACAATGTATTATATAATAATAAATAATAATAAAATATAAATAAACTAATAAAAAAGTTATTAAAAATAAATAATAATATAATAATGATATAATAATATGCTACACAATAGTATAATCGCTATAATATTATTAACTTTTTAATAAATAAACTGTAATAAATTAATAATTATAAAATATTATATAATAGTAAAATATTTAAAAATATAATAGTAATATTATAATGATATATTGTATAGTAAATGTAATATAATATATAAATTGTATTATATTAATAATAGTATAATATTATATTAATAATAAATAACATTATTATAAAATGAGGTATTTTATATTAATAATAGTATAATATGATAGTTTTTTCCAACAATTTAGAAGAATGAGGTATTTTATAGCTGTAAATTTAAAATCCAAAAACTTGAAACTTTGGTTTTTTGAAAAGTATTATTGTAGCACACTGGATACTGTAGTAGAGGCGGGGGGGGGGGGGGGGGTACTGTAGCAATTCAAAAAAATTACCATGGCAGTTAAACCAAAATTATTGTAGCAGTAAAAAAATATGTCGTGCTGTGCATGGTGTTCACACTAGTTAAATATAAGTGAAAAAACTAATAGGTCAACATGGATTGTGAGAGGATATATTGATGCTCTTAAATAATAAATTTAGATATTAATTATGATAATTATTAGATATTTATGATTAGTGTATAAGCTAAAAAACTCTATTGTTAAGCGTGCTTTGATGAGATTAATCCTAAAATGGGTGACCTTCTGGGAAGATATAGTGTTAATTATCATAATCTTTATATTTTCATCATCTAAACACAATTATGTGTCACCACTCTTGACACATGTATTTGTCAAGAGTTATGCGACACATGTATTTGTCACCACTTTCGACATATATTTGTGTCGTGAGTTTTGCGACACGTTCGCACATGTGTAGAAAAACGCTCTCCACACATGCTATAACCAGACTTTTGATATGTGTCGTGCTATATTTGTGCGACACAAAAATGTGTCACGTAGAGACAAAAAATATATCATAATTTACAACTTTTGTTGTAGTGTAGAAAGAAGTTTTGAGTGAAAGTAGTACGTATGTTAATACATCAATTTATAATTTATTTATAAATATATATAAATTAGTATGGTTTTTCATATATCACCCTGAAATCATGCATATTAAAAAGATTCTTTGAACCTAAAGAAGTTGCTTGTTCTTGGCAATTGCGTATCCCTGAAATCATGCATATTAAAAAGATTCTTTGAACCTAAAGAAGTTGCTTGTTCTTGGCAATTGCGTATACTTGTGCATCCATCACCAATAAGTCGTCTTTGAACCTAAAGAAGTTGCTTGTTCTTGGCAATTGCGTATACTTGTGCATCCATCACCAATAAGTCGCCTCTTTCATCTATTAACCAGCAGTCGATGTGTAGCAGGAGAAAAAAGATCTCGCCATCTATTGCGCTTCATCTCCTTCGCCATGAAACAAAGGTCTTCAAACTTGAGAGCTATGATCAATAAATCATTGAAACAAAGATGATATAGACCCAAAAATGTTCCATCAATTTTCAAGCACTATTCAATGATTTGCACAAGTGATCCTCGTCCCATCACCGTTCTTACTGCTCCTACCACCTCAATAATTCCCTGAAGCTTATTGCCATTACTGGTCTCTTCAAGCTAACGAGGCAAAATTCAGCATTAGTTACTCATGTTAAGCATCTTGTTATTTTCAAATTATTAGTAAATAATAATTTAGATGAGTTGAATGGCTAATGATCACTTGGCTTGATGTGGTATGCTCAAATTATCTAGATGGTTTCCATTACTGATGGCGCGCTTTACAAGCTCATTATTCTTGATGTGGTATGCTCAAATTATCTAGATGGTTTCCATTACTGATGGCGCGCTTTACAAGCTCATTATTAGCTGATTAGCCCTCCAACGACATTAGGATGGTTTCCATTACTGATGGCGCGCTTTACAAGCTCATTATTAGCTGATTAGCCCTCCAACGACATTAGTTAGCTGATTACTTCTATAGTGTTAGCCCTCGACTCCATCGCGCCCATCAACCTTGGACCTGGTCGATGGCGATCTTTGAGGTTTAGGACTGTACTGTAGTCGAACACGGTCCTTGATGGTGCATAAAGTGTGGCAGATTGGTTGGCGGTCTAGCTAATGTGGGTATTTCCTGAGCTTAGTGACATTTAAGGAGATCTCGATTAAGATTTGATACCAGCGTTTTTGGCTTTGTTTTGGCTGAATATACAGAGGAGATAACAATATTGTTACTGATGATAGAAGCTCAAAGGTTAGGGGTCTTAATTTCAAATTAATTGAGATTTTAAGGGGATATGCATTATTGCTAAGGTTATGGTGGTGATTAAATGGTTATTAGTGTGTATTCAGCATGAAGGATTAAGTGGTGGTGAGGTTATGATGGCGATGAGTGTTCAATGGGGATGTTGTATTCATGTATGTGTGTATGTATGGATATGGATATGCTAGAGAGGGTAATTGTCACATTATATATGTGTGCATGTATGTATGTACGGATGTGTTAGATGGCATTTTGGGGAAAAATTGTTTTAACATTCTACACACTTTTATAATTGTATAAGATTTGTGCTGACTCAATATGAAAATAGTGTCTTCTAATTCTATTAATAATCATTTACTTTGACTTGATTGGCGTCAAGCTCAGGTTGCATATTGTCTCCAAACATGGGGATTGTCATTTCTATAAGATTCATCGGTTCCTTGCAGTAGTAATTTTTTTTTTTTTTTTTTTTTTTTTTTTTTTTTTTTATAATTGTATAAGATTTGTGCTGACTCAATATGAAAATAGTGTCTTCTAATTCTTTTTTTTTTTTGGTAAATGAACTGAACTTTATTCATTTCCAATATGGACATTGTGTAACATATCAAAAATCAGACATTCCCTGGTAATCAAAACTCAAAAGAACCAACTTACAAAATGAGATTCCTCATATGAACATTTGTACTCTCATGTAAAACTTTGGTATATATTGACAGTTTGATATTATGAAGAACTTGCAGCGAGCTCCTCAATTTGTTCTGGAAAATCCTGAAGTTGCGTTCCTGCCAGATCATATAAGTTGTGTCAGCAAGCGCAAGCCTCTTTAACTTCTTCTTGGAACCCTTTCCTTTTAAGTTGTTTGAATACCAACCAATGATCATGTTCCAATCACAAGACCTCCATTTAAAATTCAACCAGTCCATAACTCCATTCCAGATTTCCATCGAAAACTGACAATCAAAAAACAGATGGCTAATTGTTTCTAGCTGATGACCAGAACACAGAACACAGCAGTTTTGATTAGGATTTAAAATCCCCAGTCTGCATAGCCTATCCTTGGTAAGAAGTCTTGAATTGCAAGCTAGCCAGATAGTAAATGAGTGTTTAGGATAGTTAAAATTGTCCCAAACAGTCTTATACCAGCTCACTGGAGTTACAGCAGAAAGCAGTTTGCTGTAAACTTGCAGTAGTAATTTAGTAATTGAATAGTGTTTATGCTGTTTGAGCTGAAACTAACTGGAGCCGAACTCTTGATAGAATAGACCAATTAACTAAGAAGGCTTGAGCAGTGCAATGTTTGCCTATTTGCTCTTTATGAAGTTTATGTAGGCTTGAGCAGTGCAATGTTTGCCTATTTGCCCTTTATGATGTTTATGTAGCAGTGGAGTATTTAGACCTCATCAATGCTGGTTCTTGCCTCCTGCTGCATTGAATTAGTGTTGGAACTTTTTTACTGAGATTTATGTGAATTACAACTTAGCTTGATTTCGCAATTCTTTATTGTTTATTGTATGTTTAATATGATAGCTTTCAGTCAGAAGAATTGTTTAGGATCCTTGTGGATCAAGTGATTGTCTCCTGGGATTGTATTAGTTGAATATTCAGACTTTGTTTACAACAATTCCATAGGCTTATAATGCGCTCTCTTTCAGTGGGCCTTTGAACTTATGTCAGAAAAGGCAATTGGAGGGTCTCGGCAACTAGGGAGATTTTGTTGAAGATTTCTTCTTTTGCTTGACTGGGGAGGAGGGGGATTTTGTTGAAGGTTGGAGGAGGTGGATGAGATGTTTGGAGTCGGTCGCGGCAACTAGGGAGGTTGGAGGAGGTCGCGGCAACTAGGGAGGTTGGAGGACGTGGAGGAGGCAGTGAAGCAAATTAGACCATTGTCTAATCTTTGCAGTCCACATCATGATCTATGCTCTGCTAGGCGCTTCCAAGATTTAGGCAAACAAGTATTACCAGGTTATCAGGCCTTTCGCAGGCGGCTAGGCCACTTTTAAAAACTATGAATAAAAAATCTTTGTTTTGGTAGCCACTGGCATCCATATAATCTCTTTAAAATTATGAATAAAAAATTTGGTTTTGGTAGCCATTGGTATCCATTTACTCTTTACTGCTTTAAGCGAAGTAAGTTTTGCAATTAATGCACTTGATTAACAGCACTCCAAAGAAAAGCAGGTTGGTAATTGGAGGTCAGTTTTTCACCTCATATCACAACTTCTCGTATGGTAGGGTGAAAGTTGATTGAATAATTATCAAATTGTTACGTAAATATTAGTTGATTTCTTTGATCAAGTTCTCCTTTGCTAATTTGCTACATCGTAATCCCTTAGTTTATATTATTACACACATGACGTTATATTTTAATCCTCTTCCTTTTTGTATTTTTTTTTAAACCTTATTATTTTTATCATCAATTTTTCTTCTGACTGTTTCGTCAACATGTTGCTTCAGTGGAAAATGCACAAACCCCTACAGAAGTATCACATACCTCATGCTGAGTTATCAGGGACTCAGCTGGCTGACGCCACTGATCGTCTGGCAACAACCTTTCCAACAAATGACATATGACCTCACCTACATTGTAGAATGCATTATTCAAAGTACTTGCACTGACATTTCTGTTGCAACAATTCTGTAGCAAGTAATTGACATGTATTTTCCTTTGCATTTGGCTCTGTATTTTCCCCCCCTTATATAGATGAAAAAACATACTGTACTTAGTTGCTTTGCCTTCTGTGTTTGTGAATAGGATCAGGAAAATATATCCGATACTTCATTTGCATTAATCTCCAAGCTTCATTTTCCCTAAAAGATTCAAACATTCATGTTTGTAATGATCCAGGGATGAACAGTCTTTGATATATCGGTTAGAATATTTTCCTCGTAAGATTGGATTGTGCAAGTAGAAAATGATGCGTACTTTGGTCCCGGTTGTGGGTTTGATTCTTGTGATTCTTGATACGGATCTTTGCTTACTTTAATAAAAAGGGGTGGTAGTAAAGTTTGTCACTCCTCTCTTTCCTAAGCCCCAACCGACCCCCCACCATTCAGGGATGGACAGTCTTTGATTCTTGTTTTGGATGGCATGGAAAGGCATCTACATACGCTTAACGTGCATGGTGACCATACCCAAGCCCCAACCCCCCACCATCCTTTACTTTCTTCTGCTTCCCTTCAACTCATCAAACTCTCTTTCATGTAATT